ACCTCTAGTATATCCCCCCTCAGTCTCCTCTTTTCTAAGCTGAAAAGTCCCAGTCTCTTTAGCCTCTCTTCATATGGGACCTGTTCCAAACCCCTAATCATTATAGTTGCCCTTTTCTGAACCCTTTCCAAGGCCAAAATATCTTTTTTAGGTGAGGAGACCACATCTGTACACAGTACAGAAGATATGGCATACCATAGTTTTATACTTCCCCTCCTCCTTCTTCCCCTGGCTTCCCCCATCCATCTCCCTCATCCCAGGTTTCCCCCTCCCCTCTTCCACCCTCTCTCTTCCCCTCTCCCACCTCCTTTTCCAAGTCTCCCCAGAGGTTAATTCCCCCCCACCCCCCGTTTTGTTAAAGAGAGTTTCTATTTTTGAACACACGTGTCCTTTATTTTTTACATCAGGAAGGGGAGCTAGGGAGGGGTAAGTGGAAGGATGTGAGTTAGGAATGGGGCACAAGCCCCTAATGGGGCAGACTGGGGTGGCTCTGTGGGCTCCTTGGGGTGGAAACTCTCCTGTAGGGCCTCCTGGATCCTGACAGCTCCCTGATTGACCCCCCCGGATGGCAGCCTGTGACAAGTGCAGCCGGGCTAATGGCCGAGTGCTGTGATGTGCCTAGTGTGGGCACTCAGGGCACTCCAAGTCAGGACTGCTTTGCTGTCCCTCATCGAGTTAGACAAGCAAGCGGGGAACCCTGAGAACTGTCTGTCCGTGGTGGGGGTCGGGTCCCTTTAAGCACAGCCCTCAGCTAGCCTCAGGAAGCAGCTCCACACTCTAAGTCCTAACCTGATGCCCTGCCAGCACTGATTCTGGCCAGCCTTTACTTCGGTTCAGGGTCCACTCAATGTGGACGCACTATTTTGAATTAGGAAAATGCTAATTCGAATTAGTTTTTAGGTCTAGATGCACTAATTCGAATTACCTTACTTCAAATTAACTAATTCGAATTAAGTTAGTTCGAATTAGTGCTGTAGTGTAGACATACCCTAGTTGCTTTTTTCAGGGCAGAGGTAAGGGTATGTGCAATTTAATTACATCTATATTAATTCTTGGCTGCATATTTAGTATATGAACAGATAACTCCTTCCATGGTTATGTCTAGAGGAACAAATTAACAAGATACATTCCCTAATGTTCTTTTCGCCTTTTTGCAAGTTCACTATTCCTTCCATTTTGAGTCACTTCAGAACTTCTTATGACTGTAGGCGAGAGTATAGAAACATTAATTAAGCTAAGACCAGAAGATATCGTCAAACAACTTGATATGGCAGTTGTTCATACAACAACTCTCTCCTTAGTTTTCTCACCTAAAGAATATCCATGTTTGGATATATTTGTCTATTTTGAACAGACGTTATGGAGACCTATAAAGGTCCTCATTTTCCAAAACCTTCAGACCATCTATTTGGAAGGGAGGCATATTGGCACTGGGAATCTTTGCCTATCCAAGTCTGAACACGTTGAAGACTTACCACACTATAAGTCTTGCTATATGTAGAACTTTGGACTGTGATCCTGACAGTTCTCTCATGGTGAAAGATTAACAATGCAGTACAGTTCTGAGAGTTAGACAGAAAAATCTGTGCACAAGAAGCTTTGAAAACATATATTAGCTCAGCAACAATGGTGTAGTTTGGTCATTAACTTGCATAAACTAATATAATTTCAAATGTGACAAAAGGCTGCTGTTGGGACTTACGCTTGATATAATTTTGGATGATGCAAAACCCTAGCACACCACTTATCAAATGTTAATGATAAAGTTTCCAGAGGATGGAGATGCCTAGATAGTTTTCAGTTATTTCTGATAAACAGCTGAAGAGTAACTTGAGCTACGTCTACACTGCAACACTATTTCTGGACACCGGAGTATCCCACAATAGCTATCCCGCATCTTAACAGCAAGCCTGTTTTTTCAGGCTCGCTATTCCAATGTCTCTGTAAACCTCATTCCACAAGGGGTAAGGGACATTTTGAAATAGCAGGTTATTTTGAAATGTAAGCGCCAAATTATGAAATATGCTATATTGAAATAATATCTAAATAAGATACGCAATTTGCATAGCTCAAATTGCATATCTTATTTCCACCTTGGGGTGTAGATGAACCCCGTGACTGCATCTAGATAGGCTTCATGTGCAGGGTGGAAAGCAAGTGGCTTAGTGGCAGAAAAGGTATGGTCAAGGTCTACTAAACTTTATCAGGGATGCAATGATGTATGTATATTGAGGTTGACTGGGACTGTCCAGCAGTACACTATAGATTTTTATTAATACTATTCATGATTAAACTTGGAACATTAATGGCTGAAATTTCTTTGCCTGGTGGATTCAAGTCCATAGCTGCAATGGAAAAATTGTCACTTGCTCATGATAACTTGCCATCCAAAATGCATCAGAACATTATGTATCTCTAGTAAATCTAAGACCTTCAGACACTTTTCTGCATGTGTCTGTTAGGACTGACAACCTGAAAATGTGAAGGTAATGGATTGCAAGATATACTGTACGTGCTTTCTTCTAGGTTTAAGCATTAACTTTTTAAAAAGGAGGTACTATATCACAATCACTGAAAGTTCCATTAGTGAGGAAAGTTGTTTCAATGGGAGTGATGATTTACAGAGGTAGCTCTAGGAACACTTGCAGTCTATTAACCCTTTGATGCTAGGAGTCAGGCTTTCTTCATCCATCAGTTACTCAAATCAAGCAAGCATCTGGCATAATTCAGAAAGGTTATTTTATTAGATAAACTGCATTGTTCGTTGCCTTTAATGTTCAGATTAGCATAAATAGATCACAGTCAAGCTCAATATAGAATTAATAAGAGATTATTGCAGATTCAAATTTTAAACCTTACCACTTTCTTGGCCAAAGAAAATTTTAAGAACTCTACGCAAATAGCTGTTGGAGTTACTGTAGCCAGTTATTAGACCCCCCTTGTAACATCCATCTTTGCTTGCCTGGAAGCATACAGGGCACACAGAGCAGTAAAATCAGCATAGTCTTTGAAGCCTTTACAGGAGGCCCGGATATTCTAGCTCACAGTGACCCTGGATGGCTGTAAACAGAGATACGCCAATTGTTGACCTCGTGGCTGCGAGAACTGCCTTGGCTGGCACCTATATTGATACGAACACACAGCCGTCCGCGGGGGGAGGAATCTCCCACCCAGTAAAGAATGTCCACTACTTACAATTTAGTTATCTCTCTTGCAAGTATAAATTAAGTTGAAACTCCCTTGTAAGAACTGGCGTCACAAAGACGGACCAACACAATTTGGCATCTTAGATAAGAAAGAGGATACGGGCCCCTATGGGTATAAAGATGGGTCCAGCAGCACACTCACTCTGAGCATCAATCTACCATCTATCTGCTGGTCGGGTTAGATGATTGATCTCCCAAGGTTCCACGAGGACACCCACCTCGTATTCGTCTTTCCTAGGAATTGAGGGACCGGCCCTGGCCTGATACGCTGGAGTCAAGAGGCACAGAAGGGGGTAAAAATTGTACCTGTGTGTGTCCTTTGTCTTAAGTGTGCACATAGACTTAGAGCTCTTTAAAGATTAAGCTGTCATTTGGTACCATTATTTCTATTTTCTATCTTTATTTTCTTTGTAACCATTTTTAAGATCTAAATTTGCTAGCAGTTAAGAAATAGAGCAATAGCCATTGTAACCATATGATTTATAAGCTTCTTTAATAAACCTGTAACTGGTTAAGCTTTAACCTGACTCCTTCATTTGCTGTAACAGAACCAAGCACAATTTAAAAGAACTCCATCCGGTCATAACGGACAGATATAGGCAGAGCTGGGCATTTGGATCATGTCGCTTCCAGAGGACAGATCCGTAGGGGCACCTCTCAGCCTTCCCTAGGCTGCCCGCTGAGAAGGGATCATGTATCCTAGCAGTCAAAGTCTGAAGTGTAATAAGCTCTCCCTGTAAACTCTGGGGAATCTATCAGCCTGTTAGCTGCCCGCAGCGAAGGGACCTGGTCCTAGTGGTCAAAGACACGGATGTAAAACTTCTCGGGGCGCCTGTCGGCCTCCCCTAAGGGCTTCTGGCAGTTGAAGACTCGGGTGTATAACACACACACCACACACTGCCCTGGCCATCGGCTGACAGTTACTCAAATATAGCATTTTAAAGCAGGGCTGTGTCTACACTGGCACCCCTTTCGGAAAAGGGATGCTAATGTAGCACTTTGGAATAGGCAAATCTGTGGGGGATTTAAACAGAGCTGGGCATTTGGATCATGTCGCTTCCAGAGGACAGATCCGTAGGGGCACCTCTCAGCCTTCCCTAGGCTGCCCGCTGAGAAGGGATCATGTATCCTAGCAGTCAAAGTCTGAAGTGTAATAAGCTCTCCCTGTAAACTCTGGGGAATCTATCAGCCTGTTAGCTGCCCGCATGTTCAGGTGACTCCCTGGTCCTCAGCATCTCTTTAGAAGAGAGGAATGATTCTTTTCTCATTGGGGGCATTTACATGAAATTATCCATTCAACAGTAATCTTAGCAAAACCAAGTTGTATTGGAGAGGCGATGGAATGAAAACAAAATGCACAATTGGTTTAACACCTCTAGGCTGTGTCTACATTGGCACCCTTTTCCGGAAAAGGGATGCTAATGAGACCAGTCGGAATTGCAACTGCCACGGGGGATTTAAATATCCCACGTGACATTTGCATGAACATGCCTGCCGCTTTTTTCCGGCTTGGGGAAAAGCCGGAGAAAAGCGCCAGTCTAGACGTTATTCTCCAGAAACTTTAAAGTAGGAATAAGAAACTTTAAAGTAGGAATAAGAAATCCTCCGTAAAAGGCTTTATTTTCTGGAGAATCACGTCTAGACTGGCGCTTTTCTCCGGCTTTTCCCCAAGCCGGAAAAAAGCGGCAGCCATGTTAATGCAAATACCGCGGGGGATATTTAAATCCCCCACAGATTTGCCTATTCCAAAGTGCTACATTAGCATCCCTTTTCCGAAAGGGGTGCCAATGTAGATGTAGCCCAGGTGTATTAAGCTCCAAATAAAAAAAACTTTCACTAGCTTCTCTGTTATCTGTCCTTCTGAATTAATTATATCTAAACCCAAAATGCCAATTGAGATGCCAGTTCATGCCAGTGCTACAAATGAATTACAAATGAATAGCTGGAAGCCAATGCAGCTCACTTGTGTTAGCATTGTTAAAATACAGATGTTACGTTGCTAAGAATAGCTTTAGTATTTAGACTTTATACAATGCTGCATGTGTTAATCTCAGTGATAACTTCTATAGCTCATAATATAAGTGTTTGCATTGTAAACCTCTGTAATTGTGTAACTCAAAATATGAAAAGAGGGGTTAAGGTAAAGTGTTTGTCCAGCACCTAAGATATCCTGTTGAATGTAAATGACATATTGTGTAGAATCAAAGGACAGAGACTGTTGATAGCTTTTCTAACTCCCTCCAGGAAGGAGAGACCTACACATGAACTCACTCCAACAGTTTTGGACTCTGGGATGGAGGGGATAAAAAATCACTGATGAAGCAACATTTTTATGTTGTCTGTATTCTGAGGGGCAAGGATTTCTAAACATGAGCATAGAGATCCCCAGGTTGCTTGACACTGGTTAGCTCTGAAAAACATTTCAGCGCTGACAGATCTGAAAGCTTTCAAACCCACAGACTGAACTCACTTGTGTGTATATGTTGCCTGCTTTAGCCTATAAAGAACAAGTCTTTTTCCTACTTAGTCATTAGTTTATCACAGGACTGGCTACCATGTTGTCTTTGGTGTGAGATATAAGGTATAATACATGTGAGTAAATGATCAGTCTCTTGGAACTGGGAGCATCCTGACTATCTTGTAATATTTTTTAAAATGTAAGTGACCATTTATCACTAAGTCCAGTTTGGCTAGGTGGCAAGATACACTGGAGTGTGTAAAGGGAATGTCTGTTAGTCCATTATAAAACAACTGTAGTACTCTGGGAACTCATCTTTGTTACTGGGATGGTAAAATCTAATTATAGAGCATATAATCAGTCTTGGGTATATGTACCCTGCCTCTTGAATTTGGCACTGTTGGCCATGATTCACTTCACAGAGTGTGACACCAACATCCAGTGAATGAGGAAACTGGCAGTACCAATGTAATTTTTACACCTTTTCAAAGAAAGAAAAAGGTAATCACTGATTCTGCGTCACGCTATGAAAAGCTTGTGGGTAACAGATATCTTTCATTTTATATCAGCTTTTCAGTGGAAGATCATATTGCAAAATGGTGTTTCTGTGCACCTGCAAATTTGTTTATGCATTTATCTGTTTGAGCAATTTTTGTCCTCTCTGGTCTTTGTGCATGAACATCCTATTTTTATACACAAACAAGTGATGAGTGCATGTACAATGTTGCATGTGCACGGATATTTTCTAGACTGACACTCCTTTGAAAACATTGCCCATGCTGTGTTCCATCTCCAGCAATGCTGCTGCCTCATATCTTTTGCCCTATTGAGGTAAGAACATAAATATGTCAATTCCCAGAAGATAATGTGAGAGAGTTTTTTCCTAATATCTGACCTAAATTTCTCTTTCTGAAGATTAAGCCAGTTACTACTTGTCCTACTTTCAAGTGGACAAGAAGAACAATTGATCATCATCCTCTTTGTAACAGCCTGCAACATATTAGACAGTTACCAGGTCCCTCAGTCTTTCTTTTCTCAAAACTAAAAATAACCCAACTTTTTTACCTTTCTAAGCTTTTTTTTTTCCATTTTGTTGCAGTCCTTTTGATTTTCTCCTAGTTGTAAACAACTTTCCTAAATTGCAGTGCCCAAAACTAGACATAACACACCAGCTGAGGTCACCTTGGGCCCAAAAAGAATAATTATTTCCTGCATCTTACATACAATACTCCTGTTAATGCCCTCAGAATGTTAGCTTTTTGCAACTGTTGGCTCATGTTGAATTTGTGATTGTTACGATCACAAGATCCTTTTCTGCAGTTCTATTGCCTAAGCCAGTTCTCAACATTTTGTAGTTGTGCATTTGATTTTTCCTTTTAAGTATAGTATTCTGTACTTGTTTTTATTGAATTTCATCTTGTTGGTTTCAGACCAATTTTCCAGTTTATCAAGGTAATTTTTATTTCTAATCCTGTCCTCCAAAATGTGTGCAATCTCCTGTATCTTGGTTTCATCCATGTATTTCATAAGCATAATTTCCACTCCATTCTCAAAGTCACAAATGAAAGTGTTAAGCCATACTGGACCAAACAAAATCCTGCTGATCCTATGAGAGACACCATCCCAGTTTGACAGGGAACCAGAGACAACTACTCATTGAGGTATGGTTTTTCAATTAGTTGTTCATCTACTTTATTTGCCTGTGAGGGACTGTATCAAAAATCATACTAAACATCAAGATAAATCATATCTACTTCTCCTCTATCCACTTGGCCAGTAAACCTATAAAAGAAAGAAATTAGTTTGGCTTGGAATGATTGTTCTTGACAAATCCATATTATGCATATAGCTCCATGTCGCCTCAACATGGGGCTGTGAACATGGAATGCAATTAAGCCCTGAAGTTGTCATTTGCTGGTATGGTTAACACAACTAGCTGCAACTGAAGTCAATGGAAGCTGGGCTTTGAATGTATAATATGCTATATAATGCTAAGGATTCTGAAAATTCAGGTCTTGCATCAAATCTGAAACAAAGTGGATAAATTTGACCTTAATCTCTAGCCCTCAGCTCTCCCTATGTAAAATAGGGGTCATAGCATCTGACCTATTGTGAAAATCCATGTATGTTTTTGAAGTACTCAGCTACTACGGTGATGAGCATTAACTTTTTAAAAAAGTCTTTGAATATATTTAAATCTACTATATATTTGAAGAGTTTGTTTGTGAGTGTGTCTGTTTGTTCAAGAACTGCTCCTAAATGGTAAGAGCTAGAACCACCAAATTTGGTGTGCTGCTTCCTCTTATCATAACTTAAAGAAAGGTAAGAATTTGGTGGTGCCTGTAAAATAGGATGTGCCTGGAATGGGATTTGTTTCTCATACAATGGAAAGGAAGGGCTCTGCTATATAATGACCACATGGGGGTAGCAGAGGATATGGAATGGAAAGCGAGGACAATTATACAGTATAATGATCACAGGAGGGCAACAAGGGACTACAGATGGGGAATGGACCAGTAGTTTGCTGCATTCCTCACACTGCCTGGGAAGCATCCGGGGCAGACAAACCTGGGCCTGTCCCAGCCAGAGGACATGGCCCTCTCCCCAACCTATACTTGCTGAAGCTGCAGCGGCCATGGAGAAGCACTTCTCACCTGGCGCCAAGCTGATCCTATGAGAGAGGGCTGGGGTTGTACTCTCTTCCCAGGACAGTGTGCATACTGAAGCCCTCATCCCCAGCCTCATTTTACATTTTATTTTCCAAAAAACAAAAATTGAGTTAAAAACCTGAGCAATGCCACGTAAATCTTCTAGTAGCTGATATTGCAAAGTCATTACAGATGTTCCAAAACCAGAAAGAGGCTGCAAATTATTTCCTCAGATCTAAAATTAATCCAGTATTTTTAAGAATTTGTATTATATTCATACTAATTTCACCCCATGAGGAGGACCAGCCCTAAACCCACCTCCTACTCAAGAACCATGTAAATTCAGTTTGAAGTGAATTTCACACACTTGTTTTCACATACAAAATCTTCTATTACAAATAGCTCCCTCAAACCATATAAAAGGTTTGTTTCTCAAATATAAAAATTTTGGATTATCCTGCTACAAAAGGTGCGACCAGGATTTCTCTGGTACAAATAGTAGTTTATAGAACTAAACTGAAAAGCAAATATAAAGTTTGAGGGACAGAACATGGTAATGATCCAGATAAATCCACAGAAATCACAGCTACTCATCACCTTTCAAGTACTGCCCTTTTGTGGGAATAAAAACTCTGGAATTCTGAACACAGCCTTGAAGGAAGAAAGAGAATGAAAATGACATTCTTTCTTCAGTTGGGTCATTTAAATTAGGTTTCTCAAAATTAGAATTAAACAAGCCATATTCAGTATCTTCATCTCCTCAGCAGATGAATCACTGAAGCTGTGAGTATCAGTTATCTTTAAATCAACTTTACTGTTAGTTGTGGCACTGGTATGTTCTGCACTAGATACAGTGAATTTGTTATTCCTAATGGTTTGCTGAAAACCTTCTGTTGCATTAAGTGCAGGTAATGTCATGTTTTTCTCTGGAGTTAATGAAAATACACTCATGTTGGAAGAGGCCCTGGCCCCAGAGGCATCCATATTAGAAAGTGAATTTAAGGACACTTGAACACAAATATCTTCTGAAATGCAGGCATTGATGTAGTGGATGTCGTTTACATCAGCTCTAGATTTGCAACTGTAGCCTGCATAACAGCGGCAATAAAATTTTTCTATAAATTGCTGCAGATCCTGAAATGATGGCTGCCCTTGTACAGCATATTTTCCATCTTTTGACATCTGAATAATAAAATTCTCTGGATTCAGATGAAGATAGTCACTGGAGTTCCAGTTTTTTCGTGCACATGCACCAGAGTCTTGGCATAATGCTTGACTACAGATTTTAGCTGCCATGGTTACATTGATGATATAAGGATTCAGAGTATGCCCAAGGTAGCTGCCTAAAGTTCTGCAAGTGTTCTGTGGAAAGAAAATCATATTTTAAAAACTCAATATACAAATTCATTATGAAAATGGTCGTCATTTCAACAACTTTATTGTAGCTAATTTTCAGTGTTTCTCTAGAGATATTGTAAATGTAGATAAGCAGTTATTGGCTGTAGAAAACAACCAAATGTATCAATTAAATCATTATACATTGCAATAATTAAGGCAAAATTATACTAGGTAGATGCTGTAGATTTTATTAAAAGTATTCAAATGGCCGAAATCAGAGGAATTCAAGCTTTCACTTTATCTACTATGGTTAGCCTGTTGTTTTTTAGTCCAATGTGCTCCATTAACTTAGAAGAAAGATCAAAATTCCTGTTATTTTTAGGGAAGCCTGAAGATTTCTATGTCTTTTCATATGACATAAATTACTGTCCCCGTGAAATTTCTGGTTCTCTCCCCCGCATCCCTTGAACTGAGTATCCCTCAGCTGAGGAAGCTAAGTTGTCATTGATTTTTTTGTTTTTGTTTTTAGAGACTTGAAAAGAGCACTTCATGGGCCCTGCGTTTGGAATGAAACATATTCTTGGAACTTCCTCACATTGAGAAATATCTTCAAAGTATGCCTCAATGACTGAGAAATTCTTGTGTTGTTGGCATAGATTTCTGGTTCGCTTGGCATGGTGTTATAATTAGAAGCTGAGGGGTTAGTGTTTTTGGTCTGTTTTGTTTCTGAGAATACACTGGCAATTTGACCTGATTAGACATTAAACACCTAGTATCGACAGACAAAGCCAGTTTTTGCACCAATGGGGCTTACCCCTTGGGTAAACTGTACTGGTACATATCACAACGAATATGTTTACCTGCCAGCTTGTACTGGCACAGCTATATCAGCAACTGCTCAACAATGGCTGAAATCAGGACAATAATCCAGTGTACACAAGGCCTAAGAAATCTCTGCTTTTTCCCTTCTCCCACCAGCTGTGCTGAATCTAACAAAGGCTTGTGTTGGACCTAATAAAGCTAAGATGAAACATTTGTTTATTGTTAAAATATTCATGAGTAAAGCATGATCTGGGATTTAATGTCAAGTTATTGTAACAGCCACCACTAAATTTTAACTCCTTCATTAAAGATACAGAAAAAGAAGGAGAAACAGTCAAGCAGTTGAAATATGTGGTAGTTAGTAAAGCTTTCATTTTAACAGCAACTCTTATTCCCTTCCCCATTAGCTGGAAACAGTGTCTGATAGTCTTTTAACTTTAATTGGACTTCTGGAGAAATAAAAGAGAAGTTTGTTGGAATGATCTGGAGCTGTTGTCAAAATTCAACACTATGTTTTTAAGACAAAACAAGACATAAAAGGGGAGAGGACAGAACAGTAAAGATGGGAAGCCATGTCTTCTATTTTCGGTGCTGATTTGTCCTTGCAATGTTGCTTACAATAAAGGGGAAAACATTCAAAAGGAAAGGGATATAATATACCATCAAAGTCAGACAGATGATTGGCATAAGTATTGTTTTGTTTTATATATAGAAAGATAACAGCCAAAGATATTTTAGCTAGCAATTCTTAATTGACTAAATTCTTGGAGAAGTTATGACAGAAATGGGCCTGGTCGAGAGATCTTTATGAAGAGGGTAATGACTTCACATAGTCACTTAGGAAGGTTGTTCCACGAACAAACAGATTTACTCATGCTAAAACTTGCATAACTGTGGATATAAATATTCTAATCTGTATATGCAAAATCTCATTTGCTTACAGTAATCACTTGCAAATTTAATTCTAAAGGCTGTTGCCAATATAAATTCTGTCATTATAACTGTGTGCAAAAATTACAGGTGCAAATGATATGCATATCAAAACCAAGCATGTACAAATGAAGTCCACATTCAGACTTTTTTGAAAATTCAGTCCTTAAAGAACTATGAATATTTATATGGGCATACTTTCTGCTCAAGAGACATCAACAGTGCTGAACAGTTCTGAATCCTTTCCTTTAGTAGACTGTGGGTGGGGGTGAAAGTACCATAATAACTTCACAAATAATATTCTATAATAGACTGACTTGACTGTATATAAATGGGCTAGCTCAAAAGATTTATTTGAACCTCCTTAAAACAGTGTTTCTCAAACTATGTTGCGTGTGACCTTATTATAGTAAATGAAAGGGGGAAGGGTTTTATTTTTCCTTTTTGCCATTCATCTTTCTCATACAGGAGTCAGTCAAGGTATTATCGTCCATTGCATATGAAACAGAGAATCAACTAACCATGACATTTAACAAAATGTCTCCTCCTAATGTTTAAAGTATTTTTTCCTAAATGGACCATTTAAAAAAAAAACAACAACAATAATCTGGGAAGCCGATTATAAAAAATCTTGCATCAGACAAGGCCTGAATATTTTTTCTGTACTTTAGGACAGAATACTACAAAGAAATTACAGAATTTCTAAATTAACCAAACAAATGCCAACCTGCCTGTAGTTGGCATAGTAGCTTGTCTAGTCACCGACCCCTAACAGCACGTATCAGATTAAAAGCTGAGTACCAACAGTGATAATAAAAAGATTTCTAGAAGGCTGAGATTTTATTTAAGCAGAATGGCAGATGATGACAACAAGCCTAAAAATGTTTCTTAATTTTGAGAGAAGACTCTGGGGGTATGTCTAGACTGCAGGCTTTTGTCGACAGCAGCTTTGTCAACAGATACTATTGACAAAGCTTCTGTCGACAAAGAGTGTCTAGACTACATCCAGTTCTGAAGACAAAGGGGCTTGCTTTGTCAACATGAGAGTGTAGACGCAAAGGACAGTGTAGATGCAATAACGCCTTCTGTTGACAGAACTCTGTCGACAAAAGGCATTATTCCTCATAGAACGAGGTTTACCAGCGTCAACAAAACTGCCGAGTTCTGTCGACGTTATGTAGACCGAACTTGGCAGTAGTGTAGATGCAGATATAGTTTTGTTGACAAAAGTCCATTTTTGTCGACAATACCCTGTAATCTAGACACACCCTGGGTCTTCTGAAAACTGTTTAGTCATTGTTTACAGTAGAAATTCTGACAGCAGTAAATGAATAAAAACCTTACACTTTTCATCTCTAAGGAAAAAGTAAATTGATCTCTCAAAAGAATTGAATGTAATTAATCTGACATACCACACTCAGTGCTAAATGCAGGTCTCCCCAGATTACAATTCCAGAGACACCTAATGCAGCAGATTCGCCAATGGTATTTACAAGGTCATCCTGAAAACAAAGGTGTGAGGATGAATAATAAAGTATATTTCAGCAACATGCAGTATGACTATAAGTTACATAATCAGAAACATAACCAGAATAACCACCATGAAGTGCATAATTAAACATTACTTCTCCATTCTGCTCTCAGTTATGCTGGTAGATTCTGATACAGAGTTGAGCAGATGATGCAAAACTATGTCCCCACCTAACATCATTGTAAGTATGGCTTATGATTAGAGAAATAAGACTCAAATTGAGTTCTAACAAGTTCCTGAGATACATTGGCACTTCTCCAAGCTGATCCATCTGATACACTTTTTACCTCCCTTTTAGGTTTTTACCTATTAGCAAATCAAAGTTGGTGGAGTCCAATTCAAAAGTTCTACATGAAAGACATGAAAGACCTTGTTCAGGGCAATGCTCTAACAAAACCAGGCCAGGCAACATTGTATATTCCTAATAATTCTTGAGGTAAAACTCAACAAAAATATTTTTAAAAGTGATCTTCATAGTTCGTTTATATATCATTAAAAACAAACATTGCCTCTACTCCCATTTTAATAGCCCCTAACCAGTCAGCTTGAAACAACAGCATATTTATATTTTCCTTTGCTTAACATGCTATAATATTCTTTCCAGTTCCATTGTATTTTACTGCTTGTTGGATACAGTTCTATTCAAACCCTCTGTAGGTTACTTTCATCAACTTGCAATGTTTTGTGCCTATGTATGTAGTGATCCTTAAATTACAAATATTTAAGAGCTAGCCAAACCTCACTCACCTGAGAGAGATATTCCTGATTGAAATCCGTAAATACTGGACGTGTATATACAAAAATGGGAAGTGGACAGGTGGAATTGGAGACATTAGACACTCTAATGGCTTCTTGAACTCTATTACGAACAAAGAGTGGTGCGTTTTTGGAAGATCTCAAGGCTGTTTCGAGATAGACAGATGGGTAAAGTGCTGTGCTTTCCTCCCACAACCAATTAAGCTCGTTATTCCTTGCTATTTCAATATCTAAACAGCTTCCTGTATAATTATGGGGATTTTGGTTGTAATCATAGTTATAGCAGTCAGGATAAAGGTAATAGCCCCACAAATTGTTTGGCTTCATTGATATTCCCAGTTTTAAAGAGTGCAACATAAATGATTTTGCTGCAGCTTCAAATTCCATTTTGGCTAGAGTCCTGACTTGGGTTTCTGATAGGCTTATATCGTTCTGCTGAACAAACTCGACAGACTCCTGCCTGTAAATGTCTTTTGCTCCCCAGTTCCGTATCCATAGTGGCCTCCAGTTTTCCCAGTCGATGACAGCCAAGCCAACCTGTTCATCTGAAGGCATATAAAAATTAATGTCATCCCTGGCTTTCTTTAAATGGTGTTCCAAGAAACAGAGTTGGGGGATCCCACCATTAAATGTCTTATGTGTGTTCTCATCTATGTAAGGATAATTACCAAGCCTGTCTGCATAGAATATAGTAATATTCTGCTCTGTGGATGTCTTCAGTGTGCTTCCTACCAAGTGGAAGAGTCTCATATCCAGCTGCACTTTAGTCTTCTCAGTGCAAAGCTCTGTAGGAGCATTCCAGATAGAGAGGAAAGGTGAATTGGGGATGAGAGGCTGGGCTCTTATATGCAACGATGAACAGCAAGTAACTTGAATAATGATGAATACCAGCCAGGATGCTCTGTTAGAGGCAATAAAGCTACCAAAGCTTTGGGCTTGCTTTAAGATTTCCATTTCAGTTAGTGAATAGCTCAGTAGCTGTTTCTGATCAAACTGCAAATAAATGCTTCATAGGTGCTCACAGCCATGGTAGTCAGTCAAAGTCTTCAGTAAAATAATACATTTCCTCAGAGTACACAGTCAGCAATATTCCATAAGGGTAAAAGAGGTGTGTTGTTTATGCCATGTTCTTTATTTCTTCATTGCGCATTTAGGGAAGCTTCTCAATAGCTGCCCAACCTAATGCAGAAAAAGAGATTGAAGCCATTATAATATCCAGTAGGATATCTTTTTAGAGTATCCTTAAAACACAGACAGTTTGTAGCTATGGAAATACTGTGATTTTTCAGTGAGTAGAGAATACTCCTATTATGTGAAAAAACAGCATGGCATCACAGAAGTAATACATACTTAGAAAAGACATAAGGTGGTCAGGGAAGTGGTTTCTAATAGTCAGAGCATGGAACAGAGTCAATATCCCCATCTTACTTCTGATTCTAACAGGGATTTAAAGTATGAGACTTTGAACAAAGTCACATAAGCTGTCGGTGCCTTATTCAATAGTAATCTGGGTATAATATTACTTACCTACTTCATAAGGTTGTTCTGAAGCTATTAATTTTACAAAGCACTTTGAGAACCCAAACTATATGTAATTGTTATGCAATTGTTATGATCATGCCATTGCTTTAGCTGAAAATGTGGGTGCTATTTTCTTCTGTGTAAGTTTCTCATATTCCTATTGAATTCCTGTTTTAATGCAATATGCTGTACCCCTGTTGCAGCATAAGCATTAAAACAGAGTAGTTCTGTTTGCCTCCCACTTCTGAGACTGGTAAACGTCCCTGTACCTATAAATCAAGCTTTGCTGAGAAATCTGTCCTTTCTCATAATTTACGCAGTTGTAAAAATCCTTCCTGTTGAATATTTTTTACCAAACCATATACTAATAGTATTAGCAAATGACCGGCCGCATGAAAGATCTCACATTAAGGAGTCCATCAAAATAAAGCTTGTGATCTGTGGCCTTGATTATGACCAAACATATGTCAATTTGAAAGGCTATGTATGACTTCCCCAGTTCTGGTTCCCTTGTCAGTGCTAGCCTTCCCAAATGGGTGAGAAGAAAGGTGGGCCACTCCTCTACACAGGCTAGAAGAGTGAACTCTGTGTGACACATTAACAAGTGCCCACTTCACCCTGGGAAAGCAGAGTACAGTTGCCAAGCTCTTAGACCTCAAAGATACATTGTGCCTAAGCTATGCCCAGTGACATTCCTTCTGGAGTGGGATGCCTCCTCACCACAACTAAACACTTGAAAGGAAGAGAGGAGTCACAAACAAGTTAATGCAGTGTGATGGGACAGCCTGCCCTTTAACAACAGGACTATCTGTGGGTCAGTCTTCCCATCATGTGACATGATCTTTAAGAATATTGGGTGGTCTGATACACAAGACCTGAGGTGTTATGGGAAGAGAGGAAAAGGGTTCTGGGAAGAACAGCAGTTAGAATAAATCCAGTTGCTGTATCTTTAAGGGCTTGGGAGCTGGAGCCTTGAAGAAAGGGTGGGGTAGTGGCCATTCTTTCACCCAGCCAAAAATAAGGAATAAAGTGGGAGAAGGGGCCAGCATAAATGCTGCCTCCTCCTGCTTCATAACAGGGCAGATACCTATAGAAACTACAGGGAGCAAGCAGGCTCCTGCAGGGCCCTGAGTTAGCAGGGAGACGACCGCAGCAGAGGAAGGTCTGCCTGCCAAACCTTTGCAGCCCTAGTGTGGATGGACTGATCGATAAAAGGGCCCAGCTCGAGGAGAAGCTGGTTAAAGTCCTGCAACTGGCCTAAGGAGATCTGTGGGAAACTCCTAAATGAGGGAAACCATTAGGGCAGTTTGGTAGGTAGGCTGGCATAGGCCAGAGAAGCAGAGGAGGTTTATCTGTGCCATGTTCTGCCTCGGGGTTGAATATAATCGACAACGAAGGGTTGCTCTTCAATATACAAGTCTCATGGGATGTACTGAAATCCCTCATTCAGTGAAACCTAGCCAAAGTACAACAGTGGCACTTTACTGGGCCACCAGGCTCCTGTTGCGGTGGGAGGGGGGTGTTCCTCCAGGAATCAGGGTCTCTGATAGATGCAGATAAGGGCTTCTGATCTAGATAGCCCAGTTTTTGGTCTTCAATAGCTCATCTGCACTGCTTTGCCAGCACTGTCTGAGCCCCAGCAGAGAGGAGGGGGTGGGTAGTATTTAGGCAAAAAAGGATATGACCGAAGCACTGTAATTCAGTGACTCTCTGCATTCTAGTTTATGATACATTTGTATGGGCAGGCATACTGTATGCATATGTGCTATACAATTTATACTTTAATAGTACAGACAACACTGGTTATGGAATTTGGGAGGTTTTGTTTTATAGTGGAGCTTTATAGTAACACACTGAATGGTTCTAACGCACACTGTATGTTAATGGTATGATGGGCTGTGTCTACACTGGCATGAATTTCCGTAACTGCTTAAAACAGAATACTATTCCATTTTCAGTTTTTCTGGAAAAGGAGCGTCTACATTGTCAGGCTGCTTTTCCGGAAAAGCCCTTTTTCCGGAAAGGCGTCTATGGCCAATGTAGATGCGCTTTTCCGGAAAAAGACTACTGGGCTGTCTACACTGGCCCTTTTCCGGAACAATGTTCCGGAATAAGGACTTATGCCCGAGCGGGAGCAGAATAGTTTTTCCGGAATAGCGGCTGATTTTGTACAGTAGAGCATCGTTGCTTTTCTGGAAATTCAAGGACCAGTGTAGACAGCTCGCAGCTTATTCCGGAAAAGCAGCTGATTTTCCGGAATAAGTGGCCCAGTGTAGACACAGCCCAGGTGTATAAGGATAGGCTTTTATTGGGAGAATGAAGATTGAGGGTGGAAGTAGACTATGGGTGAACCTATTTGCTATAGGTAACTATGTTATTGGTAAGGTTGTTCCCTTGTGATTTGTGACTGTACTACCCAATATGCTAGGGAAGAATAGAGAAAATGATGTTGTATTAACAGAAGTTTTACCTCTCAACAGATGTACATTCTCATCTCTGATAGGTTCAGGACCTATTTTGGAACTGGGCAGCTTCTGTAAATTCTCCCACAGTGATGCTCTATCATCAGTTTAAGCTGGGTTGAATGCCTATGCAAACTGAGACATTTTATCAGCTAGCCTTCTGGATAATGATTCTTGTGCAACTAGTATCCAAAACAAATGTGTCCCATACTTAATGAAGGGAACAGCTGTCAGAGATAGAACTAAAAAAAAAAATCTGCTGGATCCTTTATCAGGCATTATCTCTGGCTGAGACTGCTAATAGTCTCCCCAGCGAGGGTCCTGGCATTTGTAGTGGTATGTGCAGTAATTGAAAGCATTTCTAAAGTGGCTAGGGAAATCACTTCTGTTACTGGCCCTTCATCTACAAATAACTCTCTCTCCTTGAGGCATATGAGAGATCACATTTTGGGGTACGTCAACATCCTGCATAAGACCTGCTTCTGGCCAAAGCTGAATATGAACATTATGGGCTACAAAGGAGCTCTGCAGAAATGCTGGTCACATCACAGAGATGCTGGAAGGGGTATGATTCCCCACATGCTCAACCAGCCTTTTGTAAATCGCATCTCATTTGTCTCCCCTATGCTGGGACCACAAATGATACTACAGTCCTGGGAAGCCTGTTGGGAAAGAGGACATTGGTGCTGTGATCAATGAGCCATGTCATGATAAAAGACTCATAACATTGCAGGATAGATTTTTTGGGTTCAGGCTGGTGCCCTGGTTATGAGACCTCCTTCCCCATGGGGAGAAAGCGCTAAAGCCCAAGCCCAAGTCCAAACATTTCTACTGTGATTTTATAGCCCTGCAGCCTAAATCCTGTGCACCTGAGTCATCTGACCTGGGCTCAGAGACTATGTCACAGCATTTTTATCACAGTGTAGACAAATCTTTAGCCAGGGGGATGAGAAGGGAACCGGAGGGCAAACCACAGGTGAGCATGGATACTGTTTTCCCATAAAATGCAAAAAATTATCAGTGGGAGGATTGGAAGTGTTATAGGTGGGTTTTGCTGTGCCTTTCTCTGTCCTCTGGATGCCCTTGGTTGTGTGGGAGAGCTTCATCCAGAATGGGGCCTTTATCATCGCTGGCTTACATCTCTATTGTGGAACTGTCCTTTGGCTCCAATATCTCAGGGACAGAAGGAAACTCACCCCAACCACCATCTTCCTATAAAGTGATTTCTGATATCAAATTATCAATGGCTCATAGCCAGGTAATTCATTATAGTGCTCCAGGGTGTAGTTGCCATACATAGAGTGATAACAGGCCATTTGAATATAAATACGATACTTATACTGAACATACCACGTTCATATAGAAACTCTGCTTTAAACAAAAGTAAAGGGTAGTGGTAGTTACACAGTATAACTGTGTTTCATGTGATTCCATTTGAGGTTTTTGAGGAGGAAAAAAGAATGTTTTAAGCTTTTCTTGGTCTCTTTGACTCTTCTGTTAAGCCTTGTCTTCTACTGAGGTATATACAGTTTGTGTTGGGGGAATAAGGAGAATGTGATCCTATGGAAAAATGTAATCACATCCTTCAGATTGTATATTTATACAATAAAATATCTATTTCCAATTAGCATCACCATAATATAATGTTGTTATATCTCCTACTCAATAGCCATGCATTCTTTAGAAAGGGTCTGATCCTGCAGTATTGAAGTCCCTTGCCATTTCTTGATGACTTCCATGAGTGAGATAAGCCCAAGGTGCACAAAAAGTTGATCCTCCAGACTGGCAACCTGCAGTCTGATTTAACTTGACTTTTCTGTTTTGTTCACCACTGTGACTTGAATTTCTTCACATTAACCAAATAAAACAACACTTCCCGATTGAGTCACATGTTTATATTGTGGCACAAGAGACAAAACAAGGAACTCTTCTGATAAATCATGGGGTAGGGGAGAGAATGTCTTCTATTTATGCATGAACAATCCACTTATAAGTAAACTTAACAGAGTGGAAAGTAAGAGTGCTCCAGTTTGTTTTCAGGGTAAGAATTCCTCCACAAAATGTCTGATAATTTTATTTAATCTGATTAGATTAAACAAACTGGAGCACTCTTACTTTCCACTCTATTAAGTTTACTTGTAAGTGGGTTTGATGGAAAAGCCCTGGATGTGGAGGAAAGGTTCTAATCATTGTACT